AAATCTTTCATTTCCAGCATCTATCATTGACTACATCCTCTCTACTTTTCAGCTGTAATGCTACAGAGAAAAGAGAGCGTCTTTAGTAGCAGACCAGGCAGTTCACTGGCTGGCTTAGGTCAGGTATCCATCCCAGTCCAACCAGCTGTCACTCCAAACAAGAAGAGCCCATTGCTATCTCCCTGCATTGGGAGCTATGGACAGGGTAGTCTAAACCAGAAGAGGAAATAGACTGATACGGTCTGTTCTCTACAGAGCCATTAGACTTCCAGGGAACAGTTAGCATCGTCTGGTTTGTTTCTCTGCCTCTTGTTGTGTGCCGTCGAGTTGATTCTGACTCATAGTGACCCTATAGGACAGAGTAGAACTGCTGCATAGGGTTTTCTTGGCTGTAATCTTTACGGAAGGAGATCACCAGGCCTTTCTTATGTAGAGCTGCTGGGTGGGTTTGAACCACCAACCTTTCTATTAGGAGCCAACTGCTTAACTGTTGCACCACAAAGGCATGGGGATAACAGTGCCTACCTGTTGAGGTTGTCTAGAACATAAATGAGATAATGTAGATGACATTCTCTGCTTGGCACAAGGCAAGAGCTTAGTAAATGGAGTGTCTTTAATTTCTTTGATATGTTATCAATATTCCATAACAAAAAATATTTGCAATGCATTTTTACTTATTTTTTCAATTTTATTATGCTTCAGGTGAAAGTTTACAGTGCAAATTAGTCCCTCGTTCAAAAATTTATGCAGAAATTGTTTTGTGACATTGGTTGCAATCCTTGCATTGTGTCAGCACTCTCCCCCCTTCCGTTTCCACCCTGGGTTCCCCATGCCCACTCATCCAGTTTTCCTGTCCCTTCCTGCCTGCTCGTCTTTGCTTTTGGGCAGGTGTTGCCCATTTGGTCTTGTATACGTGATTGAACCAAGAAACATGTTCCTCGTATGTGTTATTGTTTATTCTATAGGCCTATGTAATCTTTGGCTGAAAGGTGGACTTCGGGAGTGGCTTCAGTTCCGAGTTAGCAGGGTGTCCGGGGGCCATAGTCTCGGGGGTTCCTCCAGTTTCTGTCAGACCAGTAAGTCTGGTCTTTTTTTGTGAATTTGAATTTTGTTGTACATTTTTCTCCCACTCTGTCCAGGACCTTTCACTGTGATCCCAGTCAGAGTGATTGGTGGTGGTAGCCAGGCACCTTCTAGTTCTTCTGGGCTCAGGTTGATGGAGGCTGTGGTTCACGTGGTCCATTAGTCCTTTGGACTAATAGCTTCCTTGTGTCTTTTGTTTTCTTCATTCTCCTTTGCTGTAGACAGGATGGGACCAATAGATGTATTTTAGATGGCTGCTCACAAGCTTTTAAGACCCCAGATGCTACTCACCAAAATAGGATGTAGAACATTTTCTTTATGAACTATGTTATGCCAATTGTCCTAGATGTCCCGCAAGACAATGGTTCCCAGCCCTCAGCCCCAGTAACTCAGTCCCTCAAGGTGGTTGGATGTGTCTAGGAAGCTTCTATGACTTTTCCTTGGTCAAGTTGTGCTGACTTCCCCTATACTGTGTGTTGTCTTTCCCTTCACCGAAGTTAACACTTGTCTACTATCTAGTTAGTGATTTCCCTTCCCCACCCCTCCCCTCCTTCGTAACCATTAAAGATTATTTTTTTCTGTGTATAAATCTTTTCTTGGGTTTTTATAACAGTGGTCTCATACAATATTTGTCCTTTTGTGATTGACTTATTTCACTCAGCATAATCCATGTTGTGAGATGTTTCTCAAATTCATCACTGTTCTTTGCTGTTGCATAGTATTCCATTGTGTGTACGTACCACATTTTGTTTATCCATTCGTCTGTTGATGGGCACTTAGGTTGTTTCCATCTTTTTGCTATTGTGAATAATGCTGCAGTGATCATGGGTGTGCATATGTCTACTCGCGTGATGGCTCTTATTTCTCTAGGATATATTCATAGGAGTGGGATTGCCAGATCATATTTCTATTTCTAGCATTTTAAGGAGATCCCATATTGTTTTCCATAGTGGTTGTACCATTTTACACTCCCACCATCAGTGCATAAGAGTTCCAACCTCCCTGAAACCTCTCCAGTATTTGTTATTGTCTGTTTTTTTGATTAGTGGCAGTATTGTCGGGGTAAGATGGTATCTCGTAGTTTTGTTTTGCATTTCTCTAATGGCTACCGATCACGAGCATTTCCTCATGTGTCTGTAGCCGTCTGAATGTCTTCTTTGGTGAAGTGTCTGTTCATATCCTTTGCCCATATTTTCATTGGATTACTTGTCTTTTTTGTTGTTGAGATGTAGAAATATTCTATAGATTTCAGAGGTTAGACCTTTGTTGGAAATGTCATACAGCCAAAAGTTTTTTCCCAGTCTGTGGGTTCTCTTTTTACTCTTCTGGTGAAGTCTTTTGATGAGCATAAGTATTTAATTTTTCAGAGCTCCCTTTACTTATTTTTTAATTGCACAAGTAATATATAAATATATCTCAATATTTTAAGGCAAGTCCTAGACATTGTATCATTTCACTGGTAGGTATATTACTCAGAGCTTTTAATAGACAAAGTCTTTTTATAAAACCGCAATATCAATACCACACATAAAACATTAAAAATAATTCCTTGATATCATCAATACTACATCTATGTTCATTCTTCCTCAACAGTTTCCAAAAACATCTTTTTATGCGTGGTTGGTTTGAATCAAAATCCAAGAGGTCCACACATTGCATTTGGTTGCTGAGTCTTACACATCTCAGTTGGTCGGCAATCATTTTCTGTGCTTTTTTGTGTCATTGTTTGTTGGAAAAATGGGGTCATTATTCCTGTAGAACTTTCCAATTCAGAATTTGGCTGTTTGTATCCTCATAGCATCATTAACAGCCTCTTCTATCCCCATATTTCCTGAAAACTGGTACATAGATCTAGAGCCTTAATTAGATTTAGATTCAATTTACTTTTTTCTCAAAAATGATCAAAGAAGTGTTTTTATACTTTTTTTTTTTTTATGTTTTGTAAGTTGTGATTTCGAAATAGCAGCTCAATAATCCTCATGGCTAATTTTCACTTAGGAATACAAGACTCCCAGGAGAGGAGGAGGTCACACTGGATTCTGACTCATGTATGAGTGAATCACTTTTACTCAGAGAATTAAAAGTACTTATGACAGCTATCTGCCTGAAAATGCAGATTAAAGTCATAATCATCATCTTTGATCAATTTACTAGCGATATCTTTAGTCATATGGATCTTTGGCCAAAGATGTTCACATACCTTTAATTGAAGATGTCAATTCCTTGTTTACATTCTAAGCTAGGAATAAAAAGATTTGAAATGGCTAATGAATAGAGATGGTACCAGAAGAGAAGAGAACTTCCTTTGAAATTTTTGTTTTTTATAATTGTTTGGAATGAACTAATACAAATTATGGGTGGAAACACAAATCCAGGCACACTGATGCAGGACTATAGTGTTGTGCTGGAGTGCAGGGTTTTGGGGGTGCCCAATAAACAATACCCTTTTCTTCCCTACCTGAGTTTGCAACAGAGAGCTAGGTATAAAAATGAGACAGAAGGCAATAAAAGTAATTGTTTCTGTGACTGATAAAGCTGTTTGGAGACTGTGACTTAGGTCTGCTACAATTATGAGCCTGCAGACACTCTGATCTCCTATATGAGGCATACCATTCCCCTAGTCAGGGGCAGTTAGACAACCACAGGCCTCCCTGAGCCCAATGCACATGGCAGGTTCTTTTTCCCAAACACACCACTTAATAACTCACTCCCCCTTCCCTAGTGGGAGGAGGAAAGCGAATGAGGAGGCAGGACATGGCCAAGGGTGAACTCAGTGGAGCTCTCTCAACATGGAAACATGAGGAGCAGGAAATAAGTATTCTCTTATTACCAAGGTCCATGATATAAAAGAATATCATAGATCAAACCCAGTTTCAACACAGCATTTTCATCAATAAACACCCTCACATTCAGCTGGTCCCAACTTCCACACTATAGCAGCTATGGTCAACTGAACAAATGTTTGTGGAGTGTGTGCAAGTCACAGTGCCGGCAGATGCCTAGATGGAAAAAGACACACTCTTTTCCACTTTTTGGCTACTGTGAATAATGCTGCAATGAACATTAGTGCACAAGTATCTGTCTGAGTTCCTGCTTTCAAGTCTCTTCAGGAGTGGGCTCACTTGGTTATATGGTAATTCTATATTTAACTTTTTGAAGAACTTCCAAACGTAACTCCACAGCAGCTGCACCATTTTACATTCCCACTAGCAATGCATCTCCACATCCTCGCCAACACGTTTGCTTCTGATGTTCTAATCATAGCAGTCTAGTGGGTGTGAGGTGATATCTTATTGTGGTTTTGATTTGCATCTCTCTAATGACTACTGACTTTGAACACCTTTTTATGTGCTTATTGGCCATTGGTATATCTTCTTTGGAGAAATGGCTATTCAGGTCAAGTCCTTTGCCCATTTTCTGATTGGGTTGTTTGTCTTTTTGTTGTTAAGGTGTAGGAGTTCTTTTTATATTCTGGATGTTAAACCCGTATCAGACATACGGTTCCCAAATATTTTCTCCCATTCTGTAGGCTGTCTCTTCACTTTGCTGATAAAGTCCTTTGATGCACAAAAATTTTTCATTTTCATGAAGTCCAATTTATCTATTTTGTTTTTGGTTGCTCAAGCTTTTGGTGTCATATCTAAGAATCTGTTGTCAAGAACAAGGTCTTGAAAGCTTTATCCCTATGTTTTATTCTAAGAATTTTATGGTTTTCATTCTTATATTTAGGTCATTGATCTATTTTGGGTTAATTTTTTCACATGGTGTGAAGTACTGGTCCAACTTCACCCTTTTGCTTGTGGAGTACCTCCTTCAATTTTGCACCCCAGGTGCTTCACTTGCCTCACCTAGTCCTGTCCATGGAATCTATAATAATATTAGGCAGCTTATGCAGTATGTTCCTTTTCCTGCCCCAGGTACAAAGCAATCGTCCGGCCAATGGATATCCAGGCCTCTCACGCCCTGATGAAGATCTGCCTCAAAGCTGCCTTCATCTGGGTCATCTCCATGCTGCTGGCCATCCCAGAGGCCGTGTTTTCTGACCTGCATCCCTTCCATGAGGAAAGCACCAACCAGACCTTCATTAGCTGTGCCCCGTACCCACACTCCAATGAGCTGCACCCCAAAATCCACTCTACGGCTTCCTTCCTGGTCTTCTACATCATCCCACTGTCCATCATCTCCGTCTACTACTACTTCATTGCCAAAAATCTGATCCAGAGCGCTTACAATCTACCCGTGGAAGGGAATATCCACATCAAGAAGCAGGTGGGTGCTACGGATGGATCCATCTCCTCCTTGGAGATTTGGTCCCTTGCATTTATTGTGGACCCCACTAACAAGGACAGTATTTAGGTGGGCACGTCACCTGATTCTGCAATTAGAGGAGGTGGGTTATCTGTGGCCACATGGCAAATGGCATCTCCCAGCCACTGAAGCCAAGGGATTCTGGTGTTCTTTATAATTTTGTTCTCTTGTTCAAGACCTAGAGAGACGTTGAGAACCCGAAAGATTTGAAGAGTTGGCTTCTTTTTGAGAAATATATGAAACAGTTTTTCTTTTCTTTTTTTTTAATTTTACAGCTCTGAGGCTCATAGGGCTGTGACTTCTTTAAACCCCAATGATAGTGTCTGGGTGGGAAGAGGGTCACCACATGGAGAAAAAGCAGAGAGGTCAGGAAGATGAAGCTGGTTGAAGAAAAAAGTTATTTGATTAAGAGGCTCACACTGATTTGGGTTCAAATACAGGCTTCATGATTTACTTGCTGACCCTCTCTGAGGCTCACTTCTCTTACCCATAATATTGTGTTGTTGTTGGATGCTGTCGAGCCAATTCTGACTCATAGTGACCTCCTGTGACAGAGTAGAACTGCCCCTATGGTTTCTTGGCTGTAATCTTTACAGAAGCAAACTGCAGGTCTTTCTCCCACAGAGCTGCTGGGGGGGTTCAACCTTTCGCTTAGTAGCCGAGCTCTTAACTGCTGTGCACCACCAGTAATGATGCCCATGTTGTAAGGCTGTTGGAGGATTACCAGAGAGAGCACATGTAAGCCTAGAGTGCCCAGCCTGCAGGACACCCTTGTACTGTTAGACTCCCTGCACAGAAACCAGGGTCTCTGGCTTTCTCCTCTTTGTCATTTCCTCTGGCCTTCTGGCCCAGATGCAGATCACGGGCTTTATGATGGAAAGGCAGAAAGACTCCCCACCCCACTTGAATGAATAGCTTACTCAGTTGGAGGCCTCACCCTGTAAAGTTGATTTTTTTGCCTCAATTGGGGAACTGATGGCAGTTCTTAGTGAAACATTATCCCCCCCCTACTTGAAAGGCCACTCATTAGTGATCACCTATTGTTACCCAAGTTCTTTAATAAGAAACAGGGTTCTCCCTGCCCTAGCAGAGGGAGTTCGGAGCAAAAGGAGAGGCTCAGACTACTTCATCTAAGAACCTTCTTGTATAGTATAGACCAGAACTAACTTGAGATTAAAAAATAATAAGGAGTTAGATCTTGGTTTGGCCAATAAGGAAGAACAAAGCTGGCTGCTTCTTTAAGCATCAGAGGGAATCATAAATTACTAACCATGGAGCAAAGAAACACATGAAGTTGTATGGCTCTCCTGAGGAAAAAGATTTCCTAGAATTTCGTTTTGCAATCCAAGCCTGAGATCAACTTTGTGTAAAGATCAGTTCTCGGAGGCGTGTTCTAACTGTATTCTGTCTCGTGGATTTCTGCTTCCTGGCTCTTCCGTCTCTGTGTGTCTGCCGGTTTATTTATTTATGGTTTGTTTGTTTGTTTTTTCTTTTTCTATTTCTGTTGGCTTTTTCTCATTTTATCTGATTCTCCTCCTCCTCTCCGATTGAACTTTTTTCCTGTGATTTTGCACACCCGTCTCTCTTATTTCTCTCATTCTTTTGCCCTGTCCCTTTCTCTGTCTGCATCCTTGTCTCTGTGACTCTCCTCAGATCGAATCCCGGAAGCGACTTGCCAAGACCGTGCTGGTGTTTGTGGCCCTCTTTGCCTTCTGTTGGCTCCCCAACCACATCATCTACCTGTACCGCTCCTACCACTACTCTGAGGTGGACACCTCCATGCTCCACTTCATCACCAGCATCTGTGCCCGCCTCCTGGCCTTCACCAACTCATGCGTGAACCCCTTCGCCCTCTACCTGCTGAGCAAGAGCTTCCGGAAACAGTTCAACACCCAGCTGCTCTGCTGCCGGCCTGGCCTGCTGGCTCGCTCTCATAGCACTGGTAGGAGCACCACCTGCATGACCTCCTTCAAGACCACCAACCCCTCCGTGGCCACCTTCAGCCTCATCAACGGTAACATCTGTCACGAAGGGTACGTCTAGACTGGCCCTGGGCCTTGCCCTGCCCCTGGTTTTGCGCTGAGGCTGGTTGGGACCTTCATATCTGTTGTTCTCTGCTTTGGAAGGTTCCTGAGTGGCGTAGAAGGGTGGGGGAGAGGCCCAAATAGATGGCTTTTGTATTTTAAAGGTACCATCAAGGCTTACATTTTCTGTATCAACTTGTGTATGCTTCTTCTGATATAGGACAAACGGGAACAAATAAGGAGTCCTTATTTTAAGCATCAAGCCCTGATGTATCGCGTGTGGTTAATTAAGTCATAGAAACTATACGAACAACCAGATTTATGTAGCAGAGAAATCATACGTTGATTACCCACTTTGTGAAAGACTTTACTTTGTCATTTCTTTAAGAATAAGGTAGTGCTTTCAAAATATCATTTGATTCATTTTTTCGAGAATACCTATAATCCATAAATCACAGAACAACTTTTATTTATGCACCTAACTTGAAAAGTCAACCGGATGAAAGAGTCCCATGGACGAGGGACAGTCCCCAAATTGATAACACTGAAAGCCAGTTGAATAAAAAACAAATCCCTGAGCATTGATTTTTTGTGTGTGTTTGTGTGCAGTCTTTTTATTGTGCTTTAAATGAAAGTGTACAGTTCAGGTTAGTTTCTCATACAAAAATTTATACTCACACTGCTATGTGGCCCTAGTTGCTCTCCCCATACTGTGACAGCACACTCCTCCTTTCCACCCCTGATTTCCCATGTCCATTCAACCAGCTCCTGTCCCTTTCTGCCTTCTCACCTTGCCTCCGGACAGGAGATGCCCATTTAGACTCATGTATCTACTTGAGCTAGGAAGCACACTCTTCGCGAGTATCATTTTATCTTAGAGTCCAGTCTAATCTTTGTCTGAAGAGTTGTGTTCGGGAATGGTTTTAGTTCTGGGTTAACAGAGAGTCCGGGGGCCATGTCTTCTGGGGTTCCTCCAGTCTCAGTCAGACCATTAAGTCTGGTCTTTTTACTAGAATTTGAGTTCTGCACTCCACTTTTCTCCTGCTCTGTCAGGGACTCTCTGTTGTGTTCCTTGTCGGGGTCGTCACTGGTGGTAGCTGGGCAGCATCTAGTTCTTCTAGTCTCAGGCTGATGGAGTCTCTGGTTTATGTGGCCCTTTTGTCTCTTGGGCTAATATTTTCCTTGTGTCTTTGGTGTTCTTCATTCTCCTTTGCTCCAGGCTGGTTGGGACCAATTGATGCATCTTAGATGGCTGCTTGGTAGCTTTTAAGACCCTAGACCTGAGCGTTGGTTGTTACTGAGGGCACAGGAGGAACATGGGATACACAATTTTAAGGCATAAGCACAACCAAACACATAAACACACATATAAAGGTCGATGGGTAGCTATGCAGATGTATCTTGCACTCTGAATTCTAACTCAATGGAGTTCCCTTTTGCTGACACCAAATTCTTAATCATCCATAGTGCGGTTCTACTATAGAAGAGAAGTCCTTCTGGGAGGAACAACTGATCATGAAATCAATTCATTATATATTTATGAGAGCATAGAGTACAGTGTTTATTCCTGGTATACAGATTTTCAACCAGTGTATTTATTTAGATTTGGGCGTCCTTGTCTGCTACTATGGAGTCCCTGGGTGGTGCAAATGGTTAACACACTCAACCGCTAACCAAAAGGTTGGAGGTTCAAGCCCACCCAGAGGCACTTCCTTGGAAAAAAGGCCCAGCAATCTACTCTCAAAAACCCAGCCATTGAAAAACCATATGGAGCACAGTTCTACTCCCACACACGAGGTCGCCATGAGTCAGAGTCACCTGGACCACAACTGGTGGCGGTGTCTGCTACACTGAAGTAGTCAATGAGAAAGAAGGGATCATATTTCAGTGGAAATAGAAACATATTTATATTTAACATACGTTCTGCCTAAAGTTTGTGGGAGGAAATGAAAAAATAAGTCCCTTTATAATATTTCAAAGAGCCCTGGTGGCACAGTGGGTTAAGCGATTGACTGCTAACTGAAAGGTCGGCAGTTTGAAACCACCAGCAGCTCCACAGGAGAAAGATGTGGCAGTCTGCTTCCATGAAGATTTACAGCCTTGGAAACCCTATGGGGTCGCTATGAGTTGGAATCAACTCGATGGCAGTGGGTTTGGTTTTTGGGTTTTATAATATTTCAGTAATAAGGATTTATGAGCATGTATGAGAAAGTTGCAGGGTGCTTAGCTTTAAGAACTGATTGAAAACCAACCACTGATAGATTTTGTTCCACTTCAGAAGAGTATTTATGAAATGGCCCATGCGCAGAAAAAGACTGGACTAAAATCTTTTTCTAAGTGCATAAAATTGGCTCTAAAAAGATGGACTACCTTATTTTCAAAACCCCGAATCAAGTTTTTCTGAACTTTTCTGGACTCAAGGACAGGACCATTCTGACAGATTACACAGATGCTAACCCCTCTCCCTGGTGGCATAGTGGTTAAGTGCTACGGTTGCTAACCAAAAGGTCAGCAGTTCGAATAGACCAGGCGCTCCTTGGAAACTCTATGGGGCAGTTCTACTCTGTCGTATAGAGTCACTATGAGTCAGAATTGACTTGACGGCGACGGGTTTTGTTTGTTTGTTTGTTTGTTTTAACCTCCGTCCAGACAAATCCAAATTCTGCAACTGTGCCCTTCCATCCTAAGATAACTCTAGTTCAGTTTTTCTCTATGTAGGCAAGATGGAATAGTCAACTCTCTTGTCCACATGGCACGTATTACAAGATTTTTGCCTCTTGATCCGAGAAAGCGGTCACTGTTTACAGCACTTTAGGAGTTAGGACCAAGACAGTTGTAAAGATCTGTGTTCACAGTTGTATTAGCTAGAGCGAAACCTCCTAACTTCTGCCTGCTCTGTGCTTTTGTGTACTGTGCACACCTACTTTCCTGGGAGTCCGAGATGGCATCGCACAGTCAGCAAGTAAGACAGATGGTGGAGGTGAAAGAACCAAGATTTTAACTTGACATCCCAACTCTGTCTCTAGCAATATGACCTTGGCTATCAGTGTCTCCTCTCTGGACCCATATTTTCATCTGTAGAATGAGAGGATGGCGCTAAGGTCCTTTCTCCCTCTGAATTTCTTTGAGTCTCTACACTGTTTCTCATTCTGTCTCTAAAGCATTTATGTAGCCCACTTGCTCACAGTTACCCCAGTGTCTGCTATCCCTGCAGCAACAATTCTTTGGAAATCCTTTCAATCGCCGTTCTACACTCATGTACACATCAGCGGTATAAAGGGACACTGACCATTCTACTGCTTCCAGGAACTCCTTGGAATCATTTGTACGAATGGTGTTCCATTAGTGTATTATGGTTTGGGATTAGAATTGGAAGAGACATAAGAAAACATATTGCTCAATGCCCTTATTCACTCATCTTCAACCTCTGTGTACCTTTTAGCTTGAACCATTACTCCACAGTTTTGCCCTTGGCCTCCTTCAAAACCCTTGAGCAGAAATCACTCCATGCCTAGTAAGTTGCTAAGATGTATAGCGTTCTGGGTACCTGGTGGCATAGTGGTTAAGAGCTATGGCTGCTAACCAAAAGGTCGGCAGTTCGAATCCACCAGGTGCTCCTTGGAAACCCTATGGGGCAGTTCTACTCTGTCCTATAGGGTTGCTATGAGTTGGAATCAACTCGACAGCAATGGTTTTTTTTTTTTTTAGCATGACTTGTCCAAACATCTCTGATCTACCTGCTTCCAAAGACATCTTAATATCTCCTTCCATTAATATCATGCATAGATTGTGTTTGGTCTCCTTCCTAGCTTCTGGACAAAGAGTGAGGAGACTGAGGTCTAGATCTAGCTGGGTGCCCTTAGGCAAATCTTATTACCTCTCTGAGCCTCTTAAATGAAAGGATTGGAGGAGGACTTTGCCAGCCAGTGACCTAGGACTGGTAAAACTATTTTGTGAATCAACTGGACGGTTGACTCAGAGCCTCTGCCTGGGAAGGATTTTGCCAGGCCCTTGTCTGTTGTTGTCGTCAGGTGCCACCGAGTGGTTTCCGACCCACAGCAACCCTATGTACAACAGAACGAAACACTGCCTGCTCCTGCACCATCCTCACAATCATTCTTATGCTTGAGCCGATTGTTGCAGCCTCTGTGTCAATCCACCTCCCTGAGGGTCTTCATCTTTTTTGCTGACCCTCTACTATACCAAGCATGATGTTCTCCAGGGACTGATCCCTTCTGATAACATCTCCAAAGTATGTTAGATGTAATCTCACCATCCTTGCTTCTAAGGAGCATTCTGGCTGTATTTCTTCCAAGACAGATTTGTTCATTCTTTTGGCCCGTCTCTATGGAAGTCAAATCCTTATTCCACCTCCAGAACCTAGAATCAGGTGAGAGGGATCCAAGCCAGCACACAGGTATCACCTCTCTGCCAGGGTAGAGTGCAGCTGGGGCAGGAGCTGAGGCATTTCATGCCTGGCTTCCAAAGATAATCACGTGTAGCACTTATGGCTTTGGTGAAGGGGGGGAAAAATCAATTTTTGCTGTGGAAAACCATCTGTGTTTATTCAATTGACAGATACTACCTTTCAATCTATCTTAAATTGAGCCTCCCTGAGGCAGGCAGCTCAACAGTGATTGATTAAGCAATAAACAAAGCAGTCTCCCCACCACAGGCTGCTGCTGGCAGGGAAGGTACAGCTGCTGTTGGGAGCGATGTTTTGCAGCAAGATGAAACGCCCTGCTTGGCACAAATGCCAGAGGAGAGTCCCACTCCCTCCCTCCTTCCCTCCCTGTGGTTGAGCTGATGATTCCCCATAAACATGGATGGCTAAACCCTGCTTTTCTCGCTGCCCTCACACCTCCACTGAGCCTGGCCTTTTGCCTCAGTAACAAGCCCTAGCTCTCCCACTTTGCCCCACAAACAATTTGGTTTCATCTTGGTGGATGGAAAACCCTTAGGTAAATAAACTGGAGGCTGCCGCAGATGAACCGAGCCTAGCTTGTTATGAAAATACACACTGGACCGAAAGAAATGAACTCGACCGTGGCACA